GCGAGATCGTTCATCAGCCCGCTGATCATTTCGCCTTGCGCATGTACTGACCAGTTCGATTAGCTGGTCAACTTCGCGAGCAAGGCAGATAATGCCTCGGGGATAGCTTTGCATCGGTCTGGGTTGAGATCCCAACCTTCATCCATTTTCCTCTCCACTCCCGTCCTCCGGCTAGTGTGGACGACACCACCATCATCGGTGAACAGGATCCTTCTGACGTGAGCACTTGTGAGACAAGACTTCGATGAGGCCCCAGATACACATGCCATGACGAAGGGAGACGGTGCATGTTTGGGAATGGCGCGAAGAGTGTCTGTTCGACCAAGAGCCACGGGACATTGTTTTGAGCTCTGCCTTGTATCCCCCAACTTGCTCCTCCAGGATATAGACGCTCCCTTGTTCCTTCTCCAGAGGTTGACAATAGCTGCCTTGAGCCCCTTGACCATGTCTCGGAGCTGGTCTCTTTCTTGTCGAATCGCCTGCGCAGCAGACTCCGCATCTGCCATACCTCGTTCAACCTGAGATAGCGCTTCTTGCTATCGGCAATGTTTGATTCAAGCGTTGTCTTTTCAACAATCTGGCTTCGCAATTTCTCCTGAAGGCAAAGGATTCTCTTGCTGAAGGTCATCTATTTTGCCCTGCGTGCCCTGATTGTTATCAATGTTGTGCGAAGGTAGAGCTGGTCGAGGTCGGGCCCTTTCCAGTCTGGGTTTTGCTCAGGGGGTTGATTGCATGGTCGATAGCGAGATGGAGGAAGCTGTTGGCGGGTGAGCTACTGTGGAGGATGATCACCAGGAGGCAGCAGCAGCAGCAGCAGCAGCAGCAACGAGTCGCATGAAAAGAGGCGTTCAAACCTGATATCAGGTTTAAGCTTGTTCCGGTTCACGTGAGCTCTCTCCCATTGCGCATCAAACCTGACATGAGATTTATTAAGCATATCCTTCATGAAATCCAGAAATTTGGCGGCGTCGCGCCTCTTTCCCTCACGCCTCCCTCCTATTTTTAGAGACAGACAATGAGTGATGAAATGACAGACATACACGATCAAGTGCGTATAGATGCGTTGGAGTATCATCTCACGATGGACACAATGGATTCTGAGAATGTCACGATGTACACAATGGATTCCGAATGTGTCACGATGCAGGAGCAGCATGAGTCGGTGAACCTGAAGAGGAGCAAAGGGGTGAGTGTTGCGCATCTCTGCACTTGAGAAACATTGTATCTGACAAACTTGTTTTTTGCGCCAGCGACCGGCGAAGCATGATGATCCGAAAGATGGGCAAAGATACACTCGACAAGGAGTTAAGATGGCGAATGAGATCATGAGGAGTTCTGGATACTCCTTTGTCAGAAAGAGCGTTGACTGATATGATATCCAGTTTCTGGGAACTTGGATGCCCTATGCTCAGCTTTTCTCCCTGTTGGAAACTACGCAGCATAATCACGCTCACCCACATGACCTGAGCCAAGAGATTGTGGAACTTCTCTCAATGCGTCCACGTTCTGTAGAGCTGGGTGAGTCTCGCCGTTGCGTTCATCCAATCCAACCCTCAACCGAACTCGTTGTCAAGTCCAGCGCAATGAAGCACACCGTACACGTGCTCCCAGTCTGACCGTCTCAGTTCTCGCAAAGTATCTCCAAACAGCACGCTCCGGGACTTATCCTCGTTGATGCAAGACGCAATCATGTCGCTCAACTGACAAAGCCAATCAGTTTCAACCTCCCTGTATCACCTAGAGCGGCCGATCGACTACGGGAGGTAGAGGTCCAAGGCCTCAAAATGAATGGTCAGATTTTAGACCCAACGTACGCTCAGTCAGACATTCTGAGGGTAGCTACATGATCGCGCCAATGGCTCAACCTTAGACACTACTTTATGGATTGCCTTAGCTGACGGTCAAATGCAGCATTTCGCAGCGTCTGCTTGTATATGACCGTGCTTCTAAGGGAGTAGCGACAGAGAAGCAGTTGAGGTCCTTCTTTTGATAGCACGGGGACATCCACTGATAGCTTGGAAACCTAAAACAAAGCAGGGTTTGCTCAGCGGGGAGCCTGCGTATGATCGACGCCTGTAGGACCTCCTCCCATGTCCTGAACTTATTACAGTCGGGCTCAAGCTCATGTACTTGACCTGATTGAGGATCCAGATCGTTATGGCTTTGGATGAAACCCAAGAGGGGTTATGCAATCAATGCGGGAAGGCAGAAGTAATCAACGCCGATTCATCGTATCCAATGTCAGCATTATACGGACTGTGCCGTTCAGGTACAGCAAGGGTTTTATTCCTGGAGCGATGACTGACTAGCATCGACAGCACGTCCCAACGTAGATGTCACACGCTACAACACAAGTCAAGGGCATTGTCCCTCCATCGCCTTGCTGCGATCCTTGACATCTCATGGAAGCCCATCGTCGATATCATCTCGCTAGCATTTCGATGTTCTTTGACTGTCCGGATATCTTGAAGTCGGTCTGATCACAAATGCTTATATGGCAGGGACCATTCACGGTCCGGGAGTGATGGATAAGGTCAACCATACGATAGCAAGACAATGCATGAGGCAGCTTAGGACTAGGATTACACGCAAGCCAGCTTCGGCACGGGAACCCCGTACTCGCTACCAGTAGCGAATGCGAAAAGATTATTGCCGGTGACAGTTTATCGAGTAGTGACGTGTTATTATACCCTTTCCTAGCGGAGCTCCTCCCGTAATTCCGCTACCGAAAGAGGAGTTCCGCTAGTCCCCTTGTTTTTTCCGCTACTTGGGGGGGAAGTTCCGCTAGTGGCGATCGGTCTGAAAGTGTATACAGTAATCCCGAGCTGTGTGCGCGGCTTGCCACAGCTCAACACCCATGGATGCCCCTCCAACCTCGACGTTCTTCTCTCTTTAAGATACATGTATCTTGCCTCATCGACAGGGGAGAATCTTCCAGCTCGTACTACCTGTGTGATGGTCACAATCGGAGGAGGTCACTCTAGTCATATGCATCATGTTATCAAGGTGGCCAGGGCCTCTTGGGAGCTGGAACAATTTGAGGAGCCTTTGCTCACACGATGTCATGAAATCGACCGCAAGGACGGCTACGCTTCGGAGCGATCGTACCCCGATGTGGAAGCGAGTGGATTTGCCTTGCAGCAAGTCTCCCTTCTGACACCTGGTTGTCGGTAGAGAGTCCGCTGCTTGCTCACACACTTTCTTGAAGTGCGCTCTCAGGTTACCTTATCACACCTTTATGGACTTGTAAGATCAAGTCACCAAGTCTCAGAGATGTTGACAATACACACCTTCGGAACTCCCTTGATCTCCATCAGACATGGCCAGGAAAGTCAAAGTGTCGTACTGTTCCGATAGCACACTTCGAACAATTCTTGTGCATTGGGGCTGTGCTTCTGGTCTTGAGAAGCTCAAATCATGTCGCCTCCTTCGAACTCAGACACGACAGATGTGGCGCTTGATTGAACTCCTCCCTCGGCGAGCATTTGAAATGCAATGAGCCAAGCGCAATGCGATCTTTCATTCGGTGACGCCATCAATCATCGGACGGGCGCTTGATCCGGTGCCAGGAGATCGGAATGGTTTGCTACCAAAGCCAAAGTGGCCGGTGAGCTTGAGGCGCCTTATCCTCGCGAGTGCGCCAGCTCTCGCTTCCTCATTCTGGAGCATGGTCTTATGTTACCGCTTCCTGGGACCTCAATGTCCCTGAGGCACCAAAATCTGTCGTCTTGTCCCAGCACGACTGTTCATCCTGTACTGTACGGTACACTGCTCCAGAATGACGAAGTTTCAAGATACGAAAGCGACTCCTGACCGCGATTGCAGAGATTCGATCACGGACGTCATTGAGAAGGACCTCTTCTTAACCGAGTCTTTAGAGCGGTAGAGGCCGGAGTCGAGTGAATGGAGACTCACAGTTGAGGGACCCACCGATTCCTACCTTCCATCACTTGGTGAGCTCGATGTTTGTGACAAAGGCTAATCTATGCTCCCTATTTAGGGGATCATCAGTGAATGAATTCGGAACAGCACACTGTCAGGTCCAAATCAGACATCGATCGTGCAGTAGAAGTGCAGTTTGATGGCCCGACAACAGAAAGACAGGGCTTCCAGCGTCGTCCCGCTGTCGGAGCATGTTGTGTGAAGAGGATGAAAACCGGCTCTCGGTGCATGGAGGGTTATATGTTGTGCTTTCATCAGGTAGGCATGATTCACTGCCTAGTAAGTCTCATCATGAAGGTTGAACGTTGGTCATTCCCGGTATTACTAGACCCGATGACCCTCTCCATGGACATCTTGATCAACGACTGCCCCTCTTCCCTCTTCCCAGGCTGTATTCATTCTCTCCTCGCTCACTAGAGGTTGAAATCATTCATGCACCGGAGCATTCTCCTCTGCCAATGATCACTCACCCCTTGAAGATCTTCTTCTATCTCTTCCAACCTACTCAGCGCGGGGTTTTCTCCACGAATCCTTGGTCGCCGGAAGCGCGTATCACTGCCGCGAACCTCTGCCTGAGCCACGTAAATTAATGATATCCATAGGTTAATAATGTCAGGTTAATAAAAGATCCACGTCGCTTAATAGAAAATTGGTTCAAGATATAAGGCGCTACGTATCTGCCACTTCCGCGAGCTTCTGCCTCAGCCACGTGCCACGCCATAGATTGATAATAGGTACGTGCCCTCACGAGTGCTCGAATCAGGTAACGCCGCTTTGAGAGAGAATTTGATAAGCTGGCCAAACACTGCAAGTCAGATGCATGCACGTATCCGAGCTTTGTAGCTCAGTTATTGGCCTCTGATCCTCTCATGAGGGGTTGTTGATGCAGTATTGATACGTGTCGCGCATGGTAATGCGTGCTTAGTGATACCTTTTGAACCTCAGGCAATTCCGATTAAAGCCGAAAAACTGTATATACCACGTCACTAAAATCGCCGACGTCACCGCATTCTATTTCTCCCATTTTCTTCTCCTCTTCTCCTTATCCTCTTGTCCCCATGTCCTCGCCCTACCGTGCTCGCAAGTTGAGACCATTAACAGGTGACCGTGAGCGTAAAGGCAATCAAGTCTCAGACTTCAAGACCGATGTCATCCTCTCCGAGAACAAATTGAGAAGATGCTTGCCGATTGAACGGTCGTTCACGAGCTATTCTCTTCCACAAAATCAACAGCACGCATTGAGGCTCATCCGAATGGGTCATGGCATGCCGCGACTTGTTCTACCCATTACTCTGTGCTGTCCAACCGTGCTACCGGACAACGCACGTCTGTACCCCTTCTTGTTGCGATCCCTCCCTGTACTGAAACTCGACTCTCAAGTTAAGACCCTGCATCGATGGGCACTTGGTGCGAAGCAAAACGGTGCTAATTCTATCAGAAGGATTATGAACTGGAGGCTCGACATGTCTGGAGACGACATGAATGAGTTGATGAATGATCTAGGGAGCAAGGCGGTCTGCCCCGCGTTCATTTGGCAGTGAGTTTCTGAGACCTATCCTGCTGATGTTCCGTCAGGCCTCGCATTCAGTGCTGTGCTTGCAGCTCCTCTGGCATGGCGTGTCTCATCGGCTCAACTGGTCCTCCCATCGGTCTTGAGCAAGGCGCAGTCTCAATCACCTGTCTGGGATGTATAGCCCAAAATACACCATGCAGGTTCCACCTTTCTTTCGACCGGGGTGACCATGAGGAGGTGGGTGTTTATGACTTTGCCTGCTGATGAGTTGCAGACCTGGCCCGACATTGACATCTATGCTCGACCCATGGTCGATTCTACGCATCCTATCCGTCTCGAGGAAACGATCTGGTGGGACAAGGACGGTACTTGCATTCGGATACCGCACTCATTTCCTGCTGGATGGGCTCAGCAACAGTGGTTGAGGCTGAACGATATTGAAGAGCACGGCTGAATCGATGAGCTGTCTTCTAATGCAGCCAAGAGTGACACAGAGGTCATTTGTGCTCCTCGGGAGAGCGCTGTCTCTGATCTCGAAATCTGTCTGACCCACCTAGCCCGCCCGTCATGTTGCGTCATGTCATAAGATGCTTCGAAAATCGACTGGATCGACGATCCACAAATGAACTCTTTTATCGATCCGAGTGACGAAGTACCTTCGCATTATCACAAGGCCAATCAGTTCAAACGCTATACACTGGTCCAAGCATACGAGCCTCTCCAGCAACTGTAATGCAGTACTTCGGTTCGCTACCCCTCAGAAGCTCTTCTCTTCTGCGCTTTGTCAATGGATCGATGGATTTTACATGTTCGAAACCACTGGTGTCCCTCCTATCGGCTGACGGCAAGGCAGGAGACGGCATCGTGTGATTCGATGTCACCAGACGATCGGACGATCGTCAAGGCAAATAACGCTAGCAGGTCGAGGTAAGGAGTGCGATCAAACGTGAGTCTTCTCCGGTCTGAGCTTGGTTCCCGCTGAACCGTCGACTGCTCAGATGTTGCTTCCCTCTTATGGTTCTGGCCTATCCCACGCCCCGCTCATATTTCACGTCCAACCGTGCTGGTGCCGACCATTTATCGTCACCGGCATCAAGGTCCGGTTCACCCTCGACAAGCGCTGGGCGCTCGCGGAACAGTCTCAACGACCTCTTCAGCGAAGGGATCCCCGGTCTGGTGCGTCGCGCGTTCTCTCATAGTGCGTCATTCCTGACCAGTGCAGCTCCGCGCCATGACTCCGCGGTCCACACGAAAGGCCGCAGAACCGATACGGCCACTGTGTCTGTTCGTTGAACACTCAGTCGCTATCCGCACAAATGGCACACTGATGCTGGTACAAATCAAGCAAGCATTGTTAAACCGAACATTTGATCCCATGAACTAATGCAGCATACTAGTATGGCGCTCATGCTCCTACAGGACCATCCGATGCTTTCAACCATGATAGGGACAGCCGAGCTTCAATGAAGTTGCTCATGGCATCATCGACAAGCAATAGCATGAGAAATGTCTGTCATTGCCTGATTGAGGTCTATTGGGGGTGCAGTCATATCTGGAGAGGATCATCATCACGGGCTGACCGATTACGACCTTCTGCTAGTACAGTACAGTAACAATTACTCCGGCTCTGGCCAATCTAACCCTCGGGATACCCCTGTGAATGAACCTCTGCATGTCTCTCTCGCTGCTTCTGACTCTTCTGATGTCGCCCCTAATGATGTGTCCTGGTACTGCGCCGACTCCTCTTCAGAAGCTGGGCATCTCTTATCTCGACAATCTCACATGAACGCCTTCTCTTAGCGGATCCGGGGCAGTGTTGCACCTCGTTCAACGTCTTCTGATCGAATGACTCCCGTGATGTCGACGAAGATTCTTTCCTTCTTACTACCTCAGAACGACAGCCTGCGAAGCTACGAGTAGATGCTCATTCTTCCAGCCCAAAATGTCTTGTTGTGCATACCTAGATATATCTCTCTCTCTCTCTCTGTTTCTGCCGATGATGCCGGTATCCAAAGCACTTGAGTCGCATGCTTGAATACTTTGAACCTTGTACGAAGATATTGTAAGATGGAGCGAGTCATGTCGCGATGAATTGCTTGTATAGAGTGACACTTTATACTGCACGTCAACGCCTCGACACATGCACTTCCTCTGAGTTGTTGCATCGCGAATACTACGACCCCCCAGGGGCCAAGGACAGTGTGCTTGGACTGAAATGTCCGATCATGCTGGACAGAGCTACATGCTCCCCTCAAATGAAGTATATATATGGCGCCTATCTCGCCGTCATTTCTGCGATCTTCACCGCATCTTACGCCCGATACTGTAACTTGCACTGACAATTTCCGCTCATCGAACGATTCTCCTCGAGCGAGGCTCTCCACCGCTGTAATCAGATGCCGGATGGACCAACACCACAATTGTATTCTCTTGATCTTAGATGAGATTGTGACTCAAGAGATTCGATCTGAAAGCTTTTCGACTCTAGCGCAATAAGATGCGTTCGGTCGGATCGCCGCTTATCGGATCTTCTTAGCGAATCCGGGCCTGACCTCGAGTTACCATGGGACAACAATTTGGAATGAAGAACCATATCCAATGAAACCATAAAGTGTGCTGCGCTGTTCGGACACACAAATTATTCGACGTAGGGTACAGTGGTTCAAAAATGCCTGTCGGATACATACTCTGAGCTTTGCATCTAATGTGCCGCACGTCTCTCGCAATGCAGCGCGCAATGCAGCGAAGAGGCCCACATTACCTATTGCTCATAAAGTGTGGGACGTCACTTGCACAGTACGGCACACCCTGTGCTTGCGATGGATCGATCACATACATACCCTGATCGGTCTACTACGTCCAATTGCTCAAGGATGACAGTGCCACACTAGATAGATAATCGTCGGTGGGAGCGCAAAGCGGCAAAAATTGCTCTGTGAGCCGTTTTGCAGAGAAAGATTGCTGTAACCCTTTTGCAAAATTTGCAAAAATCCTAACCCTTGTGCAAAAATCCTTAACCCTTTTGCAAAACTTCCTAACCCTTTTGCAAAAATTGCAAAATCCCTAACCCTTTTGCAAAAAATTGCGGAGTTCCTGACCCTTTTGCACAAATTTCCGCAAAGGAGTTCGTCAGACTTTTCCATTGTGCGAGACATCGGTGGCCGCCTTGTCTGCGCGATGCAGGATGCTGGAAGGTGAGAGTCGATTGCAGAAATTGCATCGCGTGATCACTTATCATTTCTAATATTGTTTAGTATGTCCCTTCTATCTTCTCGATCCGATGGATGCACGGAACACTGGATGGCTCGCTGATACTTCGGTGAGGAATACAGTCAGACTCTGTGAGATCCAGATATAAAACCCAGGACCATCAGTCGAGTGATAATTCCCATTTCTCTGACATATCAATTCTGCTATTTTGACCACTCACTCAGTCCATCGAAGCACCGATAGCTTCTCTTGGCTGAGACATCACGCTTCTTAGTTTTCTGCAAAAAGCTGACACTCTAGCAAGAAGCTGACACTTCGGCGATACTGACCCCCACTTCGCTCGCGGGATGAGACGTTCACCATAACGTGCTGTACTTTGTTCACTTTTACCGACATCATGGTTTTTGGACGAGGTCTTTTGCCAAAACTTGGAGTCGACAGATCTGCAGTTTCTTTGAGATCGAATACTACCATGACTGATTGCTGTCGGATTGGAGGTAGCAAGATCAAGTAATGTCATCACCCAATACATAGTGTGCTGCACTAATATGTGTATATTTTTGGTAAGGTCAAGTAATGTCATCCATCACTTAATACATAATGTGCTGCACTATGTGTATATTTTTGGTAAGGTTACAGGTATGCCTCAGCACTGACGTTACGTCTTGGGAATTGAGAAATGGACATTTCGAAAGGGGCAACAGGATTCTTGGAAGAAGATCAGCTCATACGATATTTTTCGACTCCAATGTCTCCAATAAGCTGAATCCGGCCCAAACACTCTGAGGTGGTGATTTAGTATATCCATTCGTCAGCTTAAATTCAGAATAACCCGATAATCATCGATTGAATTCACTGTCGTACGGCCCATTATATGTTGCGGCGACCTATTGAAAGATTCAGTTTTAGAACGGTTCAACATACCATCAGGGGTATTGATAGGGATGGGAATCCAGTCATCGCAATCAGCAACCATAAGACGCCTCTTCTTCGACAAAATGAGCTGCGTGCTAATTATATGCACCGATAGCACGCCCTCCCCATGTCTCAATCTCTTTTGACGTAAGACAATCGCCCCTCCCGCAGTCCTTGGGAATAGACAGACCGAGCTTCATGAAGAACATACTGCCGACATGTGGTAAGCCCATGTTATGACTGCACACAGTGTAGATTATGGCTTGAGGAAGTATGCGCAATCAGAAGTATGCAATGTCATGACGGGTTCTCCAGTATTTTTTGACGTTGATTGTTGGTTGCAGAGCGTTGGTGATTGGAACGAGATTGTTATTTGAAGTCTGCACCGTCGAAATGATGCACTGACAAGTTCGGTCTCCCATCTTATCGATTTATATTGAACGCTGGAAATTGGAATGTCTCAACGAGATGCACCCGCGCTCATCCAAGAATTAGCCAGACTCCCGAATCATTGGATCAATGCGGTGCGGCGAGCACAAAACTTGCCAGTTTTTGAGCAGTAACGCGAAGTCCCTGCTGGTGGCCGAGCATGTGACATTAAATGTAACAATACCTTCTTGTCACCAGCGCACAGGCGATTCCTAAAGCACTCGACGTGAACGTACTTCTGATCCGTAGCTTGTTGTACTATGTTTGCTCAATGTTTGTTCAAGATTCGGCAGGAGCGTGCTTTTGATATAATGTCGAAAATTCATTAAGCTGTAATTTGCGCATCTTGATGTGTCCATTAAATCATGTCTACAAATTCCGCTGACTGGAACTCTTCGAGCACCGCTCATTCATTAAGTGGCCACATTTCTTGCAAACTCAGACCAAAGAATTGCTTTCACAAACAATTTGAGTTGTACTTCACCTATATCGGGGATTACTTTGAGTGTATTGAGCTGTACTTCACCTATGTTTAGGATAACTTTAAGTGTATTGAGCTGTACTTCACATGGATCGGGGATTACTTTAAGTGTATTGAGCTGTACTTTAAATGTGATGCGATGCGTTGTACTGTAAATTGAGTTCTTGCACGGTTTCTGCTGCTGCCTCATTTTTCTTGCATGGGATGAGTCCTACGAGTGTTGATCCAAGGAGTAAAAGTGCGAATATCAAATTCTTTGCTGATATTGTGCTGCACACTATGAGAATATCGAGAGAAGAAAATAATTCAAATAAATCTAATTGTTTCATTGCATCGTTTGCACTTCAGGAAAAATGGAAACATGGGTCCGTTACTCCCAGACCATGCTGCACGAGCATGGCTCTCGTTGGACAAGACAG